AAGTGCAGGGGAAAGGAAAGTTCCTTTGAGAGAGATGGGTTATTTTCCTTTCACAGGAGCCAATTAATTGCAGGAAGCCAGCACTGAGCTGAGGGAACTCTTTCATTGTCAGATTGTAGGAAGCAGCCTTTTAATCTACCTCATTAGGGCAGTGGGGTTTTTTTCTCCCTTTCTAGGCCCGGAGTTTCTCTTCAAAGGACTTTTTTTGGGGCTTTCTCTTCCTTCTGTGTCTTGCTTTCCCATTCCTTTAAGAAAGAGTAACTGGATTCCTGCCCTGTGCCAGACACTGGGCTCCGCACTGGGGAGGGAAACAGGCAAACAAAAACACAGAGGAAATTCAATCCTAGGGAATGCAGAAGACCTGGCTCACAAAAAGTGCGTAATAAACATGAGCGGAATGAAGGATGAATAGGTGAATATGAGGTTCTGGGGTCTAGAGAAGGGAGGTCAGCCTAATTCTGTGAGTGTGTGTGAGTGTGGCGATTTGGAAAGCTCAGAATTGGGGGAACAGGAGTTCACCAGATGAACGAGAGGGAGGGAGAAGGCGTGAATGTCATTCAAGACAGAGGGACAGGCACCTGAAAAGGCAGGGAGGCATGAACTAGGAGTGTGAGTTCTAGTGTCAGCAGGCAGTCTGGAATGAATGAAATGTAGGGTGAGTGTGGAAAAGTGAGGTGTGACTGCAGATGGTGCCAGGAATCAGGTCATGGAGATCTGAATGCCAAGCTGAAGTGTAGAGATTTATCCTGAGGGCAAGAGCTGGGTAGGGCTTCAAGAGCAGGAGCTGAGGTTAACTCCTAGATTTCTGGCTCAGACCAGGGGGTGGGCTTGGTAGGGCAGCTGTAGAGGGGCAGCAATGCTAGGAAAAAAGGAGTTCAGTGTGAATAACCTGGGAGGTATTAAAGATCTGTAAGGCGGCTGGACTCTTGGGTCCGGGCCTCCCTATCCCTGTAGTAGCAGATTCCACACCCACTCTCCTGAACCCTCCTTCCTTCCTCCCTTCCTTCCAGAAGGCTTTCCTGGTCACCCTAGCCTTTTGTCCTGCACTCCGTAAGCCTAACTGCCTGAATCCCCCATAAAGAGCAGTGGGTCCAATTCTGTTTTGGGAAGTGATCTGCCTGGCCAGGCACAAAACCCCTACTCTGGGTAGCGGGGCTCAATCACTCAGCTACTCTCGGGTGGGATCCCCGGGGGAATCCGCGCAGAGTGGGGGCGGGGCACTTGCAGCTAAGCACCTGGTCAGAAGTCGGGGCCAGGCAAAAAGAAAACAAACAAACAAAAACAAAACCTAGTGGGAGGGTCAGTGATGTCACAATGGGTAGGAACTGAAAGCGCTTCGGAAGCCTTACCGGGCGAGGGGGCTTCTATTCCAGCAACAGGCATTGGGGAGCGCAGGCGTGTCTATACCCTCCTTCCCTCCCACGGCTGCCTTAAAAACAGAATCTTATCAGCCAGCAGGGAGCGGATCACCCGCACCCTCCCTTCTCTGGAAGCCGTAAATGGTCCTCTAGGGTCGGGGGCGTGGGGGGATACTCGCCCCTTTAAAGCTCGATTTGTTCCGCGCGGCCTCCAGTCCAGTAAAGAGGGGACAAGCGGCCCGATCGAGCCTTCCCATCCCTTACTCTGCTGCTTTACCTGACTTCTTTTTGTGGGTGACGGCGCCAGCCAGGGGCACCTGGAGAAAGCGAGAGGCCTGGTGGAGTCTAGCAATCCAGCCAGCTACCAACCCGCCCGACGGGGAAGTCGCCATGTTTCACTCTGCTGCCGCGGGGCAACCTGGGAACCATCCGTAGCAGCGCGCAGGCCTAGGTGGGTGGGACGCATGCGTTTTAGACGCCGCAGCGCGCCCTAGCGGCCTGGCGGGGACTCTGCGCAGGTGCTGTAGCCCGGAGCGACCGGGGGACGTCACTTCCGGCCGAGTTCCGAGCGAAGGGTGTGTTGGAGTGGGAGTAGTTTGACGATTTTTGAGCGGTGCGACAGGAAGGGAAACTGAGTCCTGGGGTGAAGAACAGGCTCTACGACCCGTGGGGCTTTCCGCGGCCCCCGCATTCGTGGACTTTGTGGCTGGTTGCGCAAAGCGAGAAAACTGAGACTGAGGGAGGAGGCGGGTTCGTCCCGAACGTTGGTTCCGGGTGGGTGAACCAGCATGATGCCCTGTCGTTATACAGGCGAAACACGGGCAATGAAAGTAATTTATAGTAGAAGAATATGCCCTTCACTTTGCAAAAGCTGAAACAGGACTACACCAGATCGTGTTTGTACCTAACTCAAACCGAGTAAGTTTGGATTTAAGAGAAGACGGTATTCAACTGAATTTTGCCACAGTCTGTATTTGACGTCTCGAATCAAAGGCTAAGTATTTGTGTACAGGTGTGGAATTAGTACGACAGCCACAGTGCAGGCACAGATGGGCGTGTTCTGGTGACTCACCTGTGGTGAGAAGGATTGACACTGATTTTCCAAAATGGTGAACAAAACAAAGTATAACCTCCCTTGATTAACCTGATATATGCGTGTTTGGATAACATATTGCATATTAAAACCAGGAAGTACTGTATTTGTATATGAAACAGGTTACAAGCAGGCTTCATGCCCACGTGAAGGTTTGGGAGGACAGTTTGTTGTGGTGAACGTTCTGCGTGTTCCAAGAAGTACAGATATCTGTTCGCTGCTTCCTAAATGTTAGTAATGTCCCCTCAGTCTTATGACACCCAGAAATGTCCGCAGAAATTTCCAGTCTGTTCTTGGAAAACTACTGTTTATTCAAATAACAATTTTTGCCACCGTGCACGTTTGCCGTTGTTGTGGTGGGGAGGTGTAGTGTGTGGTCAACGGGACACAGCCCCTGCCTGCCCTTGTGAGGCGGGGTCCCGTATGAGAAAATACCCAGATGTCAGTCATGTAATATGATAAATAGCTTGACAGTAGAGAGCACAAGTCAGGGTTAGGAACACAAGAAGACCCAACCAAATAGCAGGGGGTCCTACAGCCTGAAAAAGGCAACCCAAGAAATAGATTTTGAGCTAAACCTTCAAAGAGCACCACGCAGGGAAGGGTGGTGTGCCAAGCAGATGGCCCAGGATGACTAAAATAGGTCCGGGGTCCCTGGTGCACAGTAGATACTCAAATGCTATGAGTGGATAGACAGGTGATTGAATGAGGCACAGCCTATTTGCTGGCTGGGAGCCATTCCCCACTAGATCATAAATGTTAAAAGGCAGGGGAATACCTGTTTCCTCATTCCGCCCAGGGCCCGAAACTGAGTTGGGACTCACCGAAGGTAGAGGTGGTGAAGGTCCCAGATACAGAGGAAGTGTCATGTGGTCCTGGCCTGGGAGTGATTTCTAGGAAGTGGATCTCTGGTTCTGCTCTCCCAGGGGGCAGCCACTAAAAATGTAACTGCTGTGCTGCTTCAGTGTTAGAAAAAGCAGGGCAGGGGTGGCCTCTCATTTTCACATAAGCTCTTCATGCACGATCCTGGTAACAGGGCTTGTTCTTGGTGAATGGTGCCTGCTGAGGACTGTCCCAAGAGAAAAATCTCCCAGAGTGTGTGCACAGTGGGGGAGGCCACAGGCAAAGGGGTTTATTACCCCGGCTGGTCTAAAGGAGGTCAGAGCCAGTCTTCCTCTCCTCCATGGGACAATCTCTGTCCTCTTTGGATGATCATTTCTGCCGCAAAGACCAGACTAGGGCAAGGATCTGGAGCTGCCTGCCTCCAGGGCCAAGCAGGGGATGTAGATCACTGGCCGGGTACTTTGGCAACCAAGAAAGCACAGGCGGCCTCATCTGAGAGGCTGGCTGCAACTCAGCCTGGACTGGGTGTTGCTGTGCATGACTCCTGGTCTTGCATTGCCAAATATTTTGACTTTTTTAAATACAAATTAGAAGAGAAGAATTTTTTTTATTCCCAGACCTTAAAATGTTGACACTAATTCAAATTTGAAAAATTAAGAAGACTGAGAGGTGAATGAAATACATTTGGGACCTCTGGTCCTCGTTTCCATCCTAGGAAGGGGGGAGGCTGTCAGAGCAGGGGCACGCAATAAAGGGGTGCCTGGAGTGGTCACAGGGAACTGAGTGGGCTGCGCCAGGGGTGATGGGACTCCAGCCCTGCCCAGGTCCAGATCCTCTGGGCATCTCCCCTGAGTGACCCACAGGTGCTAAGGTCATCCTCATCCATCATTGCTCCTTCTCCTTCCTCTGCACCTGCTGCCTTCACACCCCTCCCCCGCCACATACACACTATTCCTTCTAACTTGCCATCAAATCCCTTCTCTCTCACATCCCACCCATAAGCCCCAAGCTGTGTGCAGACCGCCATCATCTTCCGGCCCCTCCCCAGGTGCCACAAAATCCTCCAATGGTTCTTGCCTCCTCTTGTGTTCTCCAGATGGCAGGCAGTAGGCCCTTCTGCATGAGCCTGGGATGTCTTACCCCTGCTTAGAGCCCCCTGGTGGCTCCCCACTGCTCTCAGTATCTAGCCCACATTCCCTAAAGTGGCCCACACAGACCTCTGATTCCTCCAGAGATTGGAACTGGTGGCTCGCAGGCCATATGCAAACAGGTTTAATTTGACCTTGCAGAGTACTTCATACATTCAAACTAGTGGCCTAAATGCAAAACCTAAGACACATTTAATAAGATCAGAACTTTACAAGGAGAAGAGTGGAAGCCTAGGCTAAGATCAAGGCTGGAAATGGGTGGTATACAGTAGGAGCTCAAATACCCAGAGGTGAACACGGGTGTGAGGGGTGGGGGAGAGATTCTAAATGCCCTGCTGCCTTTCTGTTGTAATTAAAACCCCACCTACTTAACACTGGATGGAATTCTGTGTAGTTGGGGGATGATGCTGTACACACCTCTAACAATACCTTCCTGATTTCTTTCTCATCCTGAGAGTCCTGAGTGGCACACATGAACGGGAGGTAGATATCCATGCTTCCTCTCACCCCTCACCCCTACTCACCCTCTGTGCCTGTAGGGTGTTCTGAGGAGCAGCCATGTCCACCCTATACCCATCCCTGGAGGACCTGAAGATGGACCAAGCCATTCAGGTAAGCCGCTAGGCATGTGTTAGCCTAGGCCACCTCGGAGGGCCTTTGTGATTGCCCCAGGGTAAGTAAGGGAGGCTTGTCTTGGAAGGTGCTGGGTGTTGGATCCCTGGGCATGCAGGTCACTACTGCAGGACCTGCTAGTGGACAGGTGTCCAGAGGTTAAGGCAGTGGAGTTACAGCAGGAATGGAAAAGCCCAAACAGCAGACAGGCCTCTCTTGTGCGTCCTAGCACTTCTCTCCCAGTTCAGGTAGACTCCACTGTAGACAGGCTTCCAGAGTAAACCCCATGGGCATGGCCTTTGGCCTGCTCATCCGCAGAAGCCCCCTTTTCCTTCCATTCATCTGTGGTTCCAGTGGGTTTTGAGAATTTGGGACTTCTCGACTGAGAATTTCACTGGGAGGTGGGCCTCAATATTCTGGCTGCCTCAGGTAGTAAGCAGGTCATGACGCTTGGCTGGTTGCAGGCTACGGGGAGAACCTTCCCCAGAAACACGGACATGTGCAGAGGCCACATTTACACACCTCCAAGGTTCATGGATACCCCACCTTAGGCCCGCCAGCATAACTAATGCCCTGATCCCCAGGGAGCCCCAGGCTCCAAGGGTTCTGGGGGTCCTGGCCACAGCTCACCAGTGCTCCTCACCTCTCCTAGGCCCAGGCCAGAGCTGCACCCAGAATGCCTGCCCTGCCAGTCTCCCAGTCTTCAGGTGAGTGAGCCAGTCAGGGTGGCGTGCTCCTGACTGACAGTGACCTCTTGTGGCCGCTTCCAGCACAGCCTCTTTCCTGCCCCTGTGCCGTGGGCTTCCTGAACATTTTATCCCCACCAGAACTCTTTGACGGGGACCCCGGGGAAACTGTGGCTTAGTGAGAGCATTAACTCCCCTGATTTGGGGCTACCTTCTGTGGCCGAGTGAGGAGACCAAGATGTCTGTGGGGGCCCCTTGAGTTGTTGGTGGCAGTCTTGATTCAGGTCCTGTGGCAGCTAACTTGACCTCAGGCCCACTCTTTCCCCCCTCCCCTGCAGTTTCCTGGGAGCTGCCCTGGGGTCAGATGCCTGCCTCCTGCAGCCCCTGCAGCTCCTGCAGCCCCTGTGTCCCAGGCTGCTCCTGGGGAGACCCCTGCCCCTCAGCCCTTCTGAGGAGAGAACCCACATCACCAGCGAATGTTCCCTTGCATTCTCGGGGATAAACAACATCCCCAGGCCCTGTTTCTTAATACAGATGAGTGACCACGGGAGCCCGGCAGGTGTGGCCAAGTTCACGCCCCTGAGTAACACCTTTCCTCTTCCTTCCGTTCCCTTCCCGTCAGTTTTGTACCCAAGCCTGGCAGAATTGGAAAATTATATGGGTCTTTCCCTCTCCAGCCAAGAAGTCCAGCAGAACCTGCTTCAGATTCCAGAAGGTGCTAGTGTAGGTATTTGTCTCTTGCCTACTGTGGGCACAGAATGTGCCAACTCTCCCTCCCTCTTGGTCTTGCCATTCGAGCAGACTGGAATCTCCTCTTCCCCGGCAGGCCTGGGCTCTGTTTCTTCATGGCACTTTTCATTCTGAGCCATTGTTAAAAGTGCTGTGGGGTTTCCTGCAGACTTGGACACTGGAGGACCATTGCCTGCCCTTGGACCTCTGGCTTCAGGCTGCTGGATGAGAAGGGAGGGCATTAAACCCAGCCTGAGCCTGGAGGCTTCTTTTTTTTTTTTTTTTTTGACTATTTTTATTTTTTTATTATGTTATGTTAATCACCATACATTACATCATTAGTTTTTGATGTAGTGTTCCATGATTCATTGTTTGCGTATAACACC